GACTCTAGCTTTAAAACCAGGAATAGACTCAACAGGTAGGAATAAGCACATTAAACAAGGATAATCAATTATATAGAGATAATATCATAAAGACATGTATCTAAGGTCATCGTTCACTTTCAAATCATTCACATCATCATTCGATCAACATTCTTGTCACACAAGCACACTTTGGTAGCGCCACGGGACCAATCGTGATGCGGCCCAACATAATGAAGATCCATTAAGAGTACAAATTGGGCCAATCACAAGATCCAAGGCCCAAATCAGCTTTATTATTTGTGGTCATCATTATTTTAAATTGTATGGAATTAAAGAGAAAAACTAGTTTGTATTTAGGATTCCTTAAAATCCCTTTCTAAATAGGACTATATTTACTTGCTTTCTATATTAGGTTTAGGACTCTTTTTGTATTTAGAAAAGGATTCCTTAAATTCCTTTCTAAATAGGACTATATTTACTTGCTTTCTAGATTAGGTTTAGGACTCTTTTTCCCATTGTATTTTCAGATTACAATGCTGCCCTATACCTATAAATAGGGCACATCCATATCAGTTTTAGGAAGGCTTCAATTCAATAAAATTCTTAAGTTTTTTCTTTACACTTGTGTAAGAAACCTTATGGCTAATTGTGGACTCAATTAGTGGCTAGTCGTGGACTCGACTAGCAAATTGATTCGTGGACTCGAATCAATCTTACTTTCTTAAACCTTAGATTTAGGTTCGTGGACTCGTTCTTGAATCGAAGGAAACTAGATCCGACTCTAGTTGATTGAAGATTGCATCATCGAGGTACTTGAAGCTACAATGGGATTCTTCCAAGTCTTTGAGGATTCGAGACAAAGGGTTTCTCGTGAGGTTTAAGGTATTTTGATCCATCTCTATCTTTACATTGAGAGTAATCTTGGGACAATATTCCATATTATTTGAATCTTGGACTAGGTTCATATCAATTTGGTATTCAGATCCTAGGTTTATCTCATTATCATTAGAAATTTGGTTTCTTTGGTTCCTAGGTTTATCTCGTTCTTATCTTATATACTACTTTTATTCGTGTCCTATTCATTAAAACCCCCCAAAAAAATTTTCCTTTGCATTCTTGATTATCTTCTTGAATCTTGATACATGTTCTTTAGTTTCTTGAGAACAATCCCGAAATAGTTTTCCATTTCTCCCGTCCAATATCAATGAGACCTCACACCTCCTAAGCAAAATATTACCATAAATCCTGTCAAGAAAACCACACCATCTCACCCATACCTATATCCAAAGCCCATTTACGCGCAATCACGTCGCAATCACACCCTGTCCAGATTTCCGCGTTCTGTGACCAGTTTCAAAGAATGACCTATATCTCGATATCCCCTTGTTAGTTTTATCTGAAATTTTGATATGTTTTAGATCTCTTCTGGGGAGTTCTATTGATATATCATACACTTGCTAATTCCTTACTGTCATTGAGATATTGATCTTCGAATTAAGGGCAGCGTTTCTGTTTTTCTGGGTGATTCTTGAAATTCTTGGTTCTGTTTTGAAGGGGTTGTGTGGATCCTCTTGGTGCGAAATTTTTGTTCATATTTACAGTAGTTATTTGGAGGTTACTTATCAAAAATATTTAAAAAAAATCAAAAAGTTGAAAAAAAAACAAAGAAAAAAGAGGAAGCAATAAAGAAGAAGAATAAGGTTGGGGAAGGAATCTGGTTGGTAGGAGAATTTTGGAGGAACAAGGAAGGGAAAAAGTATAAGGTTGGAAGGAGTTCTTGATAGATTCCTAATTGGTTGTGGTACACGTGAACCCCTATTACATTCTATTTGTGTCTATCTTCTGATATTGGTCCTACTTATCCTTCTGCCATACTTCTTTCTTTGTCTCCCTTTTTCTTTCAAATCTTGCTTAGTTTCTTTGCTTGTATTGTCCTTTTTCTTTGCTTCTTGCTCTCAATTTCATTACTTACCTCACGATACACCTTACTCTCAAAGGCTTGTGAAGTTTTCCAAGGTATGTTTTCTTGAACTTTGACGTTGAATCCATATCAACTTGAGTTCCGGACTAGAATTTTCCTTTTTGGAAAAAGTCTTGTGAGAGTATCTGCCGCTTGCAGTGATACACGAGTGGAGTGTGTGTTTGTAAGAGTGTGTAGTGTACCCACAGAGTCATATAATCCACCTCTTACCTGTGAGTTGAGAATAGTGAGGGAGCGAGCCAACTTTTTGGTTTCACTACCATGAATACTCACATATCTTCTTGTTTTTAGATTTTGTTTCCCATATACAGATGGCTGAAGAGGTTCCAAACACACGTAAGAGATTAGATCAAAAAATAGACAGGTTACTCAAACGAGTGACTAATTCGGAGCATAATAGGAACCAGTACACATGGAATCCAGTAAGGGTAAATATGGGATCATCACAAGGCCCATAACTACGACCTTAAAACATCATTGGTGGAAGAAACAACAAAGACCAATAATAAGTCCATTCGATAGAAGAAAATATTATAGTGGCCAATTTCAAGTGATATCATGGATCGAAGACAATGCTTACAAGATTCAAGGTCGAATCATTTTCAAGAAGGGGAGGATGATGCGGCCCAACATATGAAGATCCATTAAGAGTACTAATTGGGCCAATCACAAGGCCCAAGTCCAAACAATTAAGGCAACTCTTCATTGGTGATGTTCAAAGATGGTGGAAGTCCAAGTCAAGCCCATTTGCAAAATATGAAGAATAACTCAAGGCTTTAATTCAATAAAATTCTTAAGTTTTTCTTTACACGTGTGTAAGAAACCATATTGCTAATTGTGGACTCAATTAGTGGTTAGTCGTGGACTCGACTAGCAAATTGATTCGTGGACTCGAATCAATCTTACTTTCTTCAACCTTAGATTTAGGTTCGTGGACTCGTTCTTGAATCGAAGGAAACTAAATCCGACTCTAGTTGATTGAAAATTGCAACATCGAGGTAGTTGAAGCTACATGGGATTCTTCTAAGTCTTTTAGGATTCGAGACAAAGGGTTTCTCGTGAGGTCTAAGGTATTTTGATCCATCTCTATCTTTGTATTGAGAGTAATCTTGGGACAATATTCCATCTTTATTTGAACCTTGGACTAGGTTCATATCAATAAAGATAAGGTGATATGAACCTAGTCAAAGGTTCACATAAAGATAGAATATTGTCCCAAGAATGCTCTCAAAAGTAAAGATAGAGATGGATCAAAATACCTTAAACCACACGAGAAACCCCTTTGTCTCGAATCCTCAAAGACATGGAAGAATCCCATTGTAGCTTCAAGTACCTCGATGATGCAATCTTCAATCAACTAGAGTCGGATCTAGTTTCCTTCGATTCAAGAACGAGTCCACGAACCTAAATCTAAGGTTGAAGAAAGGAAGATTGTTTCGAGTCCACGAATCAATTTGCTAGTCGAGTCCACGACTAGCCACTAATTGAGTCCACAATTAGCCATAAGGTTTCTTACACAAGTGTAAAGAAAAACTTAAGAATTTTATTGAATTAAAGCCTCCATGAAACTGATATGGATGTGCCCTATTTATAGGTATAGGGGCAGCATTATAATTCTAAATACAATGGAAAAAAAGAGTCCTAAACCTAATCTAGAAAACAAGTAAATAGAGTTTTATTTAGAAAAGGATTTAAGGAATCCTTTCTAAATACAACTAGTGTTTTCTCGATGTTGCAATCTTCAATCAACTAGAGTCGGATCTAGTTTCCTTCGATTCAAGAACGTGTCCACGAACCTAAATCTAAGGTTGAAGAAAGTAAGATTGATTCGAGTCCACGAATCAATTTGCTAGTCGAGTCCACGACTAGCCACAAATTGGTCCACAATTATCCATAAGGTTTCTTACACAAGTGTAAAGAAAAACTTAAGAATTTTATTGAATTAAAGCCTGTCTGAAACTGATATGCATGTGCCCTATTTATAGGTATAGGGCAGCATTGTAATCCTAAATACAATGGGAATAAGAGTCCTGAACCTAATCTAGAAAGCAAGTAAATATAGTTCTATTTAGAAAGGGATTTAAGGAATCCTTTCTAAATAAAAACTAGTGTTTTCTATTTAATGCCAAACAATTAAAACTAATGATGACTAAAAATAATAAGGCTTATTTGGGCCTAATTTAATCTCCAAAATTAGCACTTAAACAATTATAAAAATCCTCGAATTCTTCTTCATCTTTTGCAAATGGGCTTGACTTGGATTTCCACCATCTTTGAATATCACCAATGAAGAGTTGTCTTAATTGTTTGGACTTGGGCCTTGTGATTTGCCCAATTGGTACTCTTGATGGATCTTCATTATGTTGGGCCGCATTAGAGGGAGAGAAGTGAGGTCCAACTTAATCTTTTATCTTGTTGTTGCACTTTTGTTTCTATTGCAGCTCAATATGTCAGGGTCTGGCCAATCTAATAATGAGTCAAGCATGAGTCCAAATACCAAGTTTATGGTGGATGCTATGAAAGGGGAGTTTACTAGGCTTGGTAATTTAATGAGTGGCCTGGCTGACCGTTTGGAGAGGTTAGAATTGGAGAGGGAACAAAATAGAAATGAGGGAGGAAATGATCAAATGGCACAAGGGAATGAGGGAGAACGGAGGAGAAATAATTTGAGAGCCCAAGGGAATGTGAGAGAGGGAGTTGAGTCTTCTACGGGCTATGATAGTGAGGAGATTGAGGATAGTGAGATAGAAATGCATAAGAGAGAAAGAGGGAGAAGAAGGGCAGCAAGAAGGGATGTAGATGATGATTTGGGCAACATTAAAATGAGTATGCCTAATTTCCAGGGGAAGAGTGATCTGGATGCCTATCTAGAGTGGGAGAGTAAGGTAGAGAGGGTGTTTGATTGTCACAATTATTCGGAGAAGAAGAAGGTGAAATTGCAGCCTTGGAATTCACTGATTATGCCACTTTATGGTGGGATAAGTTAGTGTTGACAAGGAGAAGAAGTGGAGACCGTCCTATTGAATCATGGAGAGAAATGAAGATAGCCATGCGCAAGAAGTTCATTCCAACTTGGTACTACCGTGAGCTCTATCAACAACTCCAAGATTTGGTGCAAGGGAGGCTGTCTGTAGCTAAATATGACCATGAAAATGAGAAGTTGATGACAAAGCTGGGTTTGGAGGAGGATCCACAAAGCACCATTGCCCGTTTCATCAAGGGGCTAAATTGGGACATCCGTGAGGAGATGGAAATGCATGATTTTGTGGACTATGAAGAGATGGTTCAAAAGGCTGTCCAAATTGAGAAAAAGCTCATGAAGAGGAAAAAGAGGGTCCAATCCAACATTTCAAATTGGAAAGCTAGCAAGGGACAAAAGGAATGGAAAAATGACTCCAAAGGAGAAGCTAGCAAACCGAAAGAAGCTGTTGATAAATGTAAAGGTAAAGTTGAATTTTCTTCAACTAAACCAAGTGGTGTTCGTTGTTTTAGGTGCCAAGGAAGAGGACACATTGCTAAAGACTGTCCTAATAAGAAAACAATGATAATTAATGATTTTGGTGATATTCAAACTGAATCTGACCAAGATCAAGAGATGAGCAATGAGGATTCACAAGGGGAAAGTGCTGAAATTCAAGAAGCTGTAGAAGGGGAGTTCTTGATGGTGAGGAGAATGTTGAATGCTCAAGCCAAAGAAGATGAGGCACAAAGGGAGAACATCTTCCACACACGTTGTTGTGGGCACGGGAACCAACAATTGGTTGTTATAATATTAGAATATTTTAGAATTAGTTTTATTATTTAATTAGGATAATTATCTTAAATTATTTTAGATTTAATTTGTTAGTATTATATTATTATTAATGTTTATCTCATTTTGTTAGTTAGGATTAGTTTATCCTATTTTTAATAACTATCTCATTTATGTGGTTGTAATTTGCTTGTTAATGGCTATTTAAAGTCATTGCAGGGCAACCTGGTTGGCCCGATCTTCTCTTCACACTCCAATTACAAAACATATTGTAGGATGGTTTATTCGGTTGGGTGAATTTGAATTGAAAGTTTGATTTAGGTTGGGGAAAGGGCTAATTTTTGTATTTTGATAAGTCCTCAGCCACACCAGGTTATAAGGTGATACGTAGGATTTGAGGCGACGCCACAAGTGAGGTTTCACACTTGATAAGTCAGGATCACCATGACTTGATCATGGTTGAACTCTCTCGAGTTCTAGAAAACACTCAGTTTTCTAAATCAAAAATTCTCAACTCTATATTTCATTATGCATGCAATGACCTTAAATAGTCATTAACAAGCAGATTACAACCACATGAATGAGATAATTATTAATAATAGGATAATCTAATCCTAACCAACAAACTAAGATAAACATAAATTATAATTAATAAAATCTTAACAAACTAAATCAAAAACAATTTTAAGATAATTATCCTAATTAATTAATAAAACTAATTCTAAAATATTCTAACTTCCAATTGTTGATTCTCGTGCCTACAACATTCCCTCTCTCTTTAGAGGGATTCGTCCTCGAACCTACGTTACTGGCACCGTTGAATGTTCCATGAGTCTTCGTGAAGAGACAACCGTGGGCTTTGATACCAAATGATGCGAACCTGGTTGGCCCGATCTTCTCTTCACACTCCAATTACAAAACATATTGTAGGATGGTTTATTCGGTTGGGTGAATTTGAATTGAAAGTTTGATTTAGGTTGGGGAAAGGGCTAATTTTTGTATTTTGATAAGTCCTCGGCCACACCGGGTTATAAGGTGATACGTAGGATTTTAGGCGACGCCACAAGTGAGGTTTCACACTTGATAAGTCAGGATCACCATGACTTGATCATGGTTGAACTCTCTCGAGTTAAAGAGGGAGGGGATTTGTGGCCACGTGAATTGTTGAAAGTATTTTAGAATTAGTTATATTTATTAATTAATTAATTAGGATGATTATCTTTAAATTATTTTAGATTTAGTTTGTTAGAATTATATTGTTATTTAAGTTTATCCTAGTTTGTTGGTTAAGATTAGTTTATTATATTTTTAATAATTATCTCATTTATGATTTATGTGGTTGTAATATGTTTGTTAATGGCTATTTAAGGTCATTGCATGCCAAATAAAATATAGAGTTGAGAATTTTTGAATTAGAAAACTGAGTGTTTTCTGAAACTCGGAATGAGTTCGGCTGTGAGTTGGTCATGGCAAACTTGACTTATCAAGTGTAAAACCCCACTTGTGGCGTCATTCTTATCCTACGTATCACCTTATAACCCGGTGTGGTCGAGGACTTATAAAAATCCAAAAATTAGCCCTTTTCCCAACCTAAATTAAACCTTTTAATCAGATTTCACCTAGCCTAATAAATTTTTCTAAAATATTATTTTAGTCAGAGTGTGAAGAGAAGATCGGGCCAACCAGGTTCGCATCATTTGGTGTCAAAGCACACGGTTGTCTCTTCGCGAAGACTCATGAAGCTTCAATAGTGCCTGGAACGTGGATTCGAGGACGAACCCCTCTAAAGGGAGAGGGAATGTTGTGGGCACGGGAACCAACAATTGGTTGTTATAATATTGGAATATTTTAGAATTAGTTTTATTATTTAATTAGGATAATTATCTTAAATTATTTTAGATTTAATTTGTTAGTATTATATTATTATTAATGTTTATCTCATTTTGTTAGTTAGGATTAGTTTATCCTATTTTTAATAACTATCTCATTTATGTGGTTGTAATTTGCTTGTTAATGGCTATTTAAAGTCATTGCAGGCCAAATGAAAAATAGAGTTAAGAATTTTTGAGATAGGAAACAGAGTGTTTTCTAGAACTCAGGAGAGTTCGACCATGATCAAGTCATGGTGAACTTGACTTATCAAGTGTGAAACCTGACTTGTGGCGTCGTCCCAAATCCTACGTATCACCGTATGACCCGGTGTGGCCGAGGACTTATCAAAAATACAAAAACAAACCCTTATACCCAGCCTAAATTAAACCTTTTAATCAGATTTCACCTAGCCTAATAAATTGTTCTAAAATATTATTTTAGTCAGAGTGTGAAGAGAAGATCGGGCCAACCAGGATCGCATCACACGTTGTCATGTTCATGGGAATGTTTGCAAGGTGATCATTGATGGTCGAAGTTGTGCTAATGTTGCTAGCACTGAATTGACAAATAAGCTTGGCTTGCAAACTATATCACACCCTACCCCATATTCTTTGCAATGGTTAAACAAAACTGGGGAGATTAAAGTGGACAAGCAAGTGATGGTGCCCATGTCTATTGGAAAATATGAAGATAGCATTTTGTGTGATGTGGTGCCTATGCAAGCTGCTCATGTGTTGTTGGGGCGTCCTTGGCAGTTTGACAAGAAGACAACTCACGAAGGATACACCAACAGATATTCTTTCTTTCATAATGGTAGAAAAATTGTACTTGTACCTTTATCTCCAAAACAGATTTTTGAGGATGAAAAGAAAGAGAGAGAAAAAGAAAAAAAGAATGGAAAAGAAAGAATGACTGAAATAGAAAAATTGAGTGAAAAAGAATTGAGTGGAAAACAAGAAGAGATAAAAGAAATGAGTGCACAAAAAAGAGAGGAGCAAAAGAAGAAACAAAATTTCTTTTGTACTGGAAAAACCGTGGAAAAAGTTTTGAGAGAGGGGAAACCTATTTACTTGATACTTTTTAAAGAGGCTAACCTTGAAAATACTAGCCTTGAACATATGCCCAAGGAAATATCTTCTCTTTTGCAGGAATTTGGTGATGTTTTTCCAAAGGAACTTCCTAAGGGATTGCCCCCTTTGAGAGGAATCGAGCACCATATTGATTTGGTACCCGGGGCACCAATTCCAAACCGTCCAGCCTATAGATGTAGTCCTGAGGAGACTAAGGAGATTCAAAGGCAAGTGGAGGAACTTTTAGCTAAGGGGCAAATTCAAGAAAGCCTTAGTCCATGTGCAGTGCCCGTGCTACTAGTGCCAAAGAAGGATGGAACATGGAGGATGTGTGTTGATAGTCGAGCAATCAACAAGATTACGGTGAAATATAGATTTCCCATCCCCCGTTTAGATGATATGCTTGATGAACTTTGTGGTACTTGCGTGTTTTCTAAAGTGGACTTAAAATCTGGTTATCACCAAATTAGAATCCGTGATGGTGATGAATGGAAGACAGCATTCAAGACCAAACAAGGTCTATATGAATGGCTTGTCATGCCATTTGGACTCACAAATGGTCCTAGCACTTTCATGAGGCTCATGAATCATGTGCTACGGGAGTATATTGGTGAGTTTGTGGTGGTTTACTTTGATGATATTCTTATTTACAGCCATGATTTGAATGAACATGTCACACACTTGCACAAAATATTCACCATTTTAAGGAAGCATAAACTATATGCCAACCTTGAAAAGTGTGAATTTTGTACATCTTCAATTCACTTTCTTGGCTATATTGTGAGTGCAAATGGAATTGAGGTTGATGGAGCTAAAGTTAAGGCTATCCTTGAATGGCTAACACCGAGGACAGTTAGTGAGGTATGAAGCTTTCACGGCCTAGCTAGTTTCTATCGTCGTTTTGTGAAAGACTTTAGTACTATTGCTGCTCCACTAACCGAGGTGATAAAAAAGAATGTCGGGTTTATTTGGGGAGAGAGGCAAGATGAAGCTTTTAAAATTTTAAAAGAAAAATTGAGTTCTTCTCCTATTCTTGCTCTTCCAAATTTTGAAGCAGCCTTTGAGATTGATTGTGATGCTTCCGGAGTTGGTATTTGGGCTGTCCTCATGCAAGGTGGCAAACCAAATGCCTATTTTAGTGAAAAACTAAATGGGGCAAGCCTAAATTATCCAACTTATGATAAGGAGTTCCTTGCTCTAGTTAGAGCATTGGAACATTGGGAGCACTATTTGAGACCTAAAGAGTTTGTCATTCATATTGACCATGAGTCTTCGAAATATTTGCGAGGTCAAGGCAAACTGAATAGGCGCCATGCTAAGTGGGTTGAATATATTGAATCTTTTCCTTATGTGATCCAATATAAGCATGGTAGGGATAATGTGGTTGCTGATGCACTTTCCCGTAGATACTCTTTACTTACCTCTTTACATACACGATTTTTGGGTTTTGAGCATATTAAAGACTTGTATGCAAATGATCCTTACTTTGCCAATATCTTTCATGCATGCAAAAATAGTTCTCATGACAAATTCTATGTGCTTGAGGGGTTTTTGTTTAAGGCTGATAGACTATGCATTCCTATGTGCTCTTTAAGGGAATTGCTAGTCAAGGAAGCCCATGGAGGAGGCCTTATGGGGCATTATGGGATCCATAAGACTTATGATGTCTTATGTGAACATTTTTATTGGCATAAAATGAAACGAGACGTTCATAGGGTTTGTTCTAGATGCATAGTGTGTAGGCAAGCTAAGTCTAAAAGCATGCCTCATGGACTTTATCAACCCTTACCTGTGGCTGAACATCCTTGGATTGATATCTCAATGTTATTTTGTCCTTGGGCTGCCTAGAACACAAAAGGGACATTATTCTATATATGTTGTGGTGGACCGCTTTTCAAAAATGGCACACTTTGTTCCTTGCCATAAAACTGATGATGCTAAATATGTGGCTGATATTTTCTTTAGAGAAATTGTGTGTTTGCATGGCATGCCTAAGTCAATTGTTTCAGATCGTGATGTGAAGTTTCTTAGCTATTTTTGGAAAACCCTATGGGGAAAACTAGGAACTAAACTCTTATTTTCTACTACTAGTCACCCTCAAACTGATGGGCAAACTGAAGTAGTAAATAGGACTTTAGGAACCTTACTAAGGGTTTTAGTTAAGAAAAATTTAAAGACTTGGGAAAATTGCTTGCCATTTGCTGAATTTGCTTACAATCGCCATGTTAATAGCACCACTGGGTTATCTCCTTTTGAAATTGTTTATGGATTTCAACCACTAACCCCGTTGGATTTAATTCCTTTGCCTATTAAGGAAGTGTTGAATACAGATGGAGCAAAGAGGGCGGAGGCAGTCAAGATAATCCATGAAAAAGTGACACGCCAAATTGCAAGGAAAAATGAGCAAATTGCAAAGTTTGTCAATAAGGGGCGTAAACCAATGATCTTTAAACCTGGAGATTGGGTTTGGGTGCATTTGAGAAAAGAACGTTTTCCTGCCCAAAGGAAATTTGAGTTGCTGCCTAGGGGAGATGGACCATTCCAAGTGCTTTCAAGAGTGAATGACAATGCATACGTCCTAGAGTTACCCGGTGAGTATAATGTGAGCACAACATTCAACGTAGCTGATTTGTCTCCCTTTGATGTTGGTGATGAAGATTCGTGGGCAAATCCTTTTGAAGAGGGGAGAAATGTTGTGGACATCCAAAGGCTTGGAGACCCACTTCAAATAAGAGAAGGTCCAATTACTCGTTCAAGAGCCAAAAACTTGCAAAAGGCCATGAATGGACTGATCCATACACTTTGGCAAGAAGATGGCACCAAGATACTTGATGGACTTAACATGGAAGATACCAAGTGGGTCAATATCTTAACCTTGCATTTGGAGGCCTTAGAAGCTGCCATTTAAATACCAACAAAGAATCAAGGCCCAACTAGAAGTTGAAGACCAAATTGTTGAAGAAATATGCCAAGCTGGTTGTGCTGAATTGAAACAATAAGTTGGGCATAAAATAAGTGGGGAAATCCTTTAAGACTGGTCCAATTTCGTGGCTTAAGCTTAGGAGAAGACAAAAGGAGCCAAACTCAAGTCACATGGAAGAATTAAGTGTCATTTACTTCAAAATTCAATAGTAGTAATTTCTGAATTTAAGTATTTTTATGTTACAAGCTAAGGAGTAAATGCACCTTCTTTGAACGTGTATAGCCCTTTTTAAAGGGCTAAAGAACTCATTTTTGGGTAGATTATTGAAGTTGAATTCATTTGGATATGTGCTTTGCACTTCCATTTCCTTTCTAGCATTCTAGGAAGAATTTCTGACTTATCAAGGATATTACCCTCCTTGTGGCGTCCCAATTGGCCTTATCACCCTTCAACCCGGTGTGGCGGCTTCCCTATTCATCCATACACGTCCTCAACTATTTCCCATACCCCACATCAACCTCAATCCACAATAACAACCCCTACACTTCAAAATCAGTACACAGAAATTGGGAAAACGGATCGTGACTTGAGCTGTAGAGTTCTAGGCCTTTAAATCCAATATCAAGCTGGTGGAATCCACATCACTCTTTCATCTGTTCCGGCAATGCAGAACAGCAACTGCGGCGAGAAGATGCTTCTTCAATGTCAATGGTGGTGTCGGTGGTGATCAACGTCAACTCTCCCTTCCTCCGTCTCCCAACGACTGTAGTCAGCAAGAAAACAGTTTTCCCGGCCTAAGCTCCGTGACCTTCCCTGTTCTGGCGGGCAGAACAAGCAGTGGTGGTGGTTGGCTCTTCCTCTTCCGGCGGAGCAGCCACGACGGCAGTGGTGGACGACCTCTTCTTCCGGCGACGACGACGGTGCTAGAATGAAGATCCCCAGCTTGGTGGCAGTACGTGGTGCCGGCGGGTGGTGGAACCTACCGTGGTTCCACCCGCGGTTTGGTCGCTTGAAGATGAAGAAGAAGGTGAGCTTTTGTTATGGCTTTGTTGTTTAGTTAAGTGTTAGATAGTTTGTTGTTGGTTAAGTTACTAAGTGTTTAATTAGCTTAGTGGTTAAGGGGTGCTTAGTATTACTTTATTAGTTAGGGTTTGAATCCTATCTAGCTTATATTAGTTTAATTAATAATTTTGCTATTAATTCTTGGTTATTAGCTTGCTTATTAGTGTATTAATGTCATGACAAAGTTAATAAGGCATTGTCTAGCTTAGTTGGTAAAGGGTGTGGTTAATCCAAAGATAGGCTAGGGTTCAAATCCCTTTTGGTAGTATGTCTTTATGAGTTGAGCATAAGTTTGGCGTTGTTTTTGGATGGTTAAGCGAAGGAGGTAACCCATGCTCTACAAAATCTATTTTCTATTGCTATGAATGATTATTGGCTTCTATTTGATGATTCTTGATGTATTTGTGAGATTTGATGCATGATCTTGTGATAATGCATGTTTAGAGCTTGTATTTAGGGTTCTTTAATGCCTTTCTTTTAGCTATTCTTGGGTTCAAGTCGTATCTTTGTTGTGTGTGAGGTTTTGGGTGTTTTGGACTTGAACATGACCTTGGAGAGGGATTTCGCCGAAGGGAATTTTTGGTGTACAGTGTTGTACCCGCGGGTGGAACGGCGGGCAGTGGCCTACCCGCCGCCCCACCCGTGGGGAACGTGGCAGTGAAGGGTTTTACCCGGGGGCAGGACCACGGGCAGTGGCCTACCCGTGGCCCCACCCACGGGCAACGTTGTGGTGATGGCGGGGAATTGTTTCCCCGTGGTTCTTTCCTTTAGGTATTTGATGTTTTGACCTCCCGTTGTTGGATTATTGAGCTTTTGTGAGTCTTCTTGATGTTTCGTACGTCTAGAACGATGTGTTAGGAATCCATGTTAGGATTTGGTGTCTTGAATCGTGCTAAGGGTCCAACCTTCTGGTTCATTGGACTGATATGAGTCTTGAAGGTTCGTTGGAACCATTTTGGTTTATCTGTTTGATGAGCATGCTAGTTTGATGTTGATATGCTAGTATGTATGGTTTGTTCCTTCTTGTTGAGGGTTGGCAACTCGTATTGCCAATCATATTAGTGTTGGATTGTAGTCCATTTTTGTTGAGTATTTCTTCATGTCTTTATTGAAATCTCTTGGTTGATTCTTATGATGTGATCTTGTACAAATCGTGGTACCCTTTGTTGATACTTGATTGGGCTATTGATGAGCCTCAATCTTCTTGATAATGACTATGTGTGAATATGAATGAGATTGGTGGTTTTGTTACTTGAGCTTTGCTCACGAGATCGGTGGTTTGTTACTATGAATTTAATGGTACCCTCGTGTACTGAGAGTTTGGTGGTATATTGATTGGTGGTGTGATTGGTGGGGGACGATGGTCCTAGACCGGAAAAAGGTTGGATTCAGAAGTACAGGGTGGCACTCGGAGGTAATGGTTAGAACTAGAAATAAGGTCGGGGGTAGCCATAAGGTTGGAATAGGGAATAAGGTAGGACCGTGAACATGTCATTATGTGATTGTTGTATTTCTTGCTTATGAGCATGTCTATGATGAACTCTACCTTGGGTTGCATCTAGAGTTGTGGTTGTCATTTGTTGTTTGTGGTCTCAATTGCTTTGTTGAAGTTGTTGGTCTTGATCTTTATTGAGAGTTTGATATGTTGATTGTTGTCTCATCTCTTGGTTTTCAAATGCTATATACTGTACTCCTCAGTTCCAAATGGTTTTGACTATACCTATGTATATATATTGATACTTAACGCGTATTGGTGGGTTACCATCTTTATTCGCTGACCGGGTGTCATCCATTGTCTTTACAAGTTTTGATTAGTTTGAGGAGCGCGCTAGTTGTGGACCACAGTAGTGTAGCTCTTGTTCCCTTTTGTTTTGTTGGCCTG